ATTTTCTTAAAAATCCTGTACACAATTCTTCAAAGTGTCAGAATCTTAAAATTATGTCCAATCCTTGATTTTTTTTTTCAAGGGGGACACCTGTTGAGATCTCTAAAAAATTGTATTTTTTGTTAATTTAAAACATTAAAATAAACACACTTCGGGTTTTCAGTATGTTATTAAGCAACGGGGCTTATTACGGATGTCACTTCATGGTGAAAACTTGTCACTTGTCGTCACGGTGAAGTGATTCCAATTTGATTTGTACGGTAATCATGGCTCTTATTCTGAGTATTACTTGCTTATCACCGTGTAGTGACACCCGAAAATTTCCAGCCCAAAGTATAAATTTTTCCGCTGTTGGCAGAATAATCGAAAATAATATTTGGATACTGGATAAAAATATTTCCCAATTCCCGGGAATTTCCGGGAAGAGCCATCAGCTGTTTCCTCATTCACGGGTTGTCAGGACATTAAAACACTACCCTAAATACACCAAAAAGGTTTGTAAACTTCTAGAATAATTTAGAAATCGTCAAAATGACTTCTGAACGTTTGAAAAGCATAAAATTACCGAAAAATGGCCTGGAACAAAACACCAAAATACTTTTAAGAACGTCAACATGACTTTTAAATCAACAGAATAGGCGTAACATAAAATTATAAATCAGTCCTTAAAACGTCAAAATAGGCCATGAGTCGCAAAAACTGTCATTGAAGTTTCCTGAAAGGAGATACCGACCGATTGGTCGTGACCTATATATTGACGGACACTACTCTAAGTAGTTACAAAAGTCCTAGAGACTCACGGAACAGCAGGAGTCCTTAAGGGCCACCGACATTAGATCCGTTTGCGTTGCGTTGACGTAAATTTGACAGCTAGACAATTGATTTAGCTGTCACTTTGCAGCAACGCGTCAGATCCCTTTGTGGCCCTTTAGAAGCGCCCTAAACTCTCGGTAGCTCTCTGAACTCTGATAGTATCAACCGGAATCAACAAATCTAGAAACTTTCAGAATTCTGGGAACACTACTCGGGGAGCTTTCGGAACTCTGATATCTCAAGATACAGTGAGAATTCTTGCAGAACTCCAGAACCCAATGGAGACGGTGGACGGGATCCATGTCAATACTTTGTGAGCTCCTTCAAGACCTTCGGAACTCTTGAAACTCTGGCAAATACAGAAAGTTCAGAATATCCTACTACTCCAGAAAAAATCTCTCTATCAACAGAAACTCATTGAGTTTCTAGAGTAGGGCTTTACCTGTATTATTCGAGAGAAATTTTTTTTTTTCGCAAAATGAAATGCTTTCGCTGCAGATGACTTCTAAATGTATTTACCTTTTCAACTGTAATATTTGATGAAGAGTAACTAATTGTTGAAAAATTGTTAAAAATCTAACACTGCTTCTTGACCCCAAACTTGGCCTAACGCATTAAAACGCCATTGAATCGGCTTCGGCCTCAGGAAGTTTTCTAATCTCTGATATCTGAAGATACAGTGACAATTCTTGTAGAACTCTAGAACCCATCCGAGCTTCAGAAAGTTCCCAATGGGCATGGTGGACGGGATCCATGTCAGTACTTTGTGAGCTCCTTCGAGACTTTCGAGCAGCTTTAAAAGCTCTTGAAACTCCGGCAAATCGGGATTTTCTACTACTAAAAAAAAAACTCCCTATCAACAGAAACAACTCCTTAAGTTTCTAGGTTATCACAATTTTAATGACTCGCTGTGTATGGTAGTTCTTGAAGTATCGGGAATTTCAGAAGTTTGCCTTGGTTTAAATATTTAGTTCCTGATTTTTTGAAATTCCACAAAATGTTAAGAGTTGCTGAACTAGAGCTCATGAAGTTTTAGGAGTTGCTAAAGCTCATAAAGTATTTATGTTCCAAGAGCTCTCACAGTTCCACATGTTTCTGGAATTCCGGTGTTCAAGGAATTTGTAGAGTTATCGGTGTTTCAAGATTTATAATTATAGTTTGGTGGCCTTTAGGAGGTTTCCGACAGTTCTTTCCCGAAAATATGAAAATTATTAGAAGTGCGAGAATCTTGAAAGTTATTTGTGGACCAACATTTTAGATATTTCCAGGGTTTTTTTTTTCATAAAGTTCCAATAGTTACACTAGTTACTGGAGGTCCAAATGTGCTTAGTTGCTGGTCTGCCAGTTGTATATACACTGTCTACCAATGTTTGAATATGTTTAATATCTACTTTAGGGGATGTGGGCTAAAAGGTCGACAAACTTGAAACTTGAAAGACAAAAGGTCGAATTTTCTGAATCTAATGTTTTCTGACCAAACCAAAGTTAAATCTGACCTTATACAATTTTCTCTTTCTTGAAAGCTGCTCGTTTTTTAACATTTGGGTTTCAGATAACTTTGTGTCCATGACGAGCATTGGTTTTAGTATTTTATGTTGAATGAAATAGAGCATTTCAAGGCCATAAGCAAAACAAAAATTGAATTTCAGACTCGACCTTCACCGACTTGCGTGAAACTTTCACTAATCTTCAAAATGGTGTATTCGAGATTTTTTAACAAATCATAACTCGAAAACGACGTCTGAGACAAAGTTGTAGAAAACAAATATTCCTTTTCAGGATATTAACAAGACGGTAAGCAATTCTAAGCAAAATTGAATAATAAAATCAATAAGACGGTCAAGGTCACATCTGATCGATTCGTCATTTGGCGTGGAACTGCTGAAAAATATTGCGTATTGCATGTGCTATTAGTTGTGCGCAATCGCCAATAAAACTATGGTTTTCCGTTGAATTATTTTGGTGTCTTAGGCTCACTTCTTCTTTGTTAATTAAAGAATAAAAAATAAAAATAAGGCACAAAATAATGTATTAAATAAGCCGCCGTTATACGCATAACTGCCCATGTTCTATGCAATGCTTACGCACAGTTTTCTTAGAAAGACACTAATAAAGTTTTCGAATACTGACCTTTTGTCTTTCCGATCTTTTGCCCGACCTTTAGAATTCTTGTCATTGTTTATATTGATAGCAACGATAACTCCGGGTTCAGAATCTCAGGCTTTCGAGAGTTCCGACACTTTACGGAAGTTGAAATAGTTCTTGGAGATTTTAAGAAGTGAAATCCAAAATTTCACACTTGGATAAATTCTACCCTTCCTGCGTCTTACTCTCATGTTTATAGTTCTTCTATACTGCCGCATAACTGTCCCATGTTCTATTAAAATCCTCATGAAAACGTGGACTTTTATATCCGTATCCGTTCAATTTTGGTAACACGTCCTCAATATCTTTGATTTGCATGTGCTATACAGTTTAATATTTTTTCTAAGATTGCCAGTGTAATTGGTTGCGAAGCTTTTGAAATGTGTCCTGATTAGGGCGTCACAATTTCAGCTTCAATCTGCTGGCTTTCTTTTTCTGCTAAAGTCCAACAGCTTCGCAGCATTCTAGATCTTCAGTCGCCGTGCACAAACAAATGTTCAATCGCTTGTCTCTCTTTCTCCCGTCGCTCCATTCGTCTTTCTTTCAAGCTTCGGTGAAACAAACGGACGAGTGAAAGAGCGCTCGACTTTGATAGTTTCGTCTTTCATGAAACACATCAACATAGCTTTCATGACGTATATGACGGAAAATGAAAATATATATTTAAAGCATTTGTCACGTGAAAACACTTGAAGATTACACGTAATATGTTTAATGTATCTTCCATCTAAAAAAAATAACGAAAACGGAACATAACGCATTTTAAACAAATTGAAATAGCGGTGATAGAGTGTTCGTGAATACGATTGAAAGCCATAATGAGGTGTCGTTTAACCAAAAAATCGACGATCGAGAAAGCGATGAGCAAAGCTACGACGAGAAGATTCACAGCCAGCCTTTCTTCTAAGCGTGCTTCTTTTTCATTTTCGTTTCTTGCTGATAGTCAGCTAGGTGTTAAAGAAACGAAGCGTTGAACACTTTGTATGAGTGAAAAAAAAACTCGAGTTCATTTTTGAGCTTCGAAAATGTAGAGCCCTGGTCCTGATGATTACGTTTACAATTATTAAAGTTTGTGGAGGGCTTAGAAGACTGAAATCATGTGTTGCCAAAATCGAACGGGTATATCGAATTGTAACAAATCAGTGCCAACATTTCATTAGGGTGAAACTGCTTTTGTAAACTATAACTTCAACAGTCAATTTCTCGCAAATAAAAGTTTACTCCTGCAAATTAACGATGCCAGCTGACAGAAGAACTATAGCTATAGCCAATGTTTACAAAAGTAATTTCGCCCTTGTGAAATGTTGGTGCCGAAATGTCATCATTTCAATAATAGTATTCTCTTTTTGTTGTCCCGTTTTGAATTTTCAGTTAATCCATCTTAAAATAGATCGATAATGCTAATATTTTCCCGATCAAACTTCAACATTTTCGCACCGTAGAGCAACACTCCGTGTTTTCACTGAAGGTGCGCACTAGAGTGAACCTTGAGTGAAAAATAGAATATTTTGAGATGGATGAAATGAAAATTTCATTGGACTTGACGTTATCTTTTTATAAAGTAATGAACTTTGCTCCAAAAAGCGACCCATTCCTGCCCGTTATGCTAACTATCTAAACCCTTAACTGTCCCATGTAAAATGGGATACCAATCAAAGATGTTAGTGTCGCGTTTATGAGCAGCTTAGCTTTAAGATTTTTGTTACTCAAAAACTGATTCACGGCCCCGTAAAGCTATTGAAATTGGGCATTGACATACTAACGTATCGTCCTCTATTTGTACGCTGTGAGGATAATCTTCGGGCGACCGAGATCGGACAGTTGCTATTTTCGAATGTATAAAAGTGAACGTATACTTAGGTATCGCTATTTAAATAAAAATACAAAATGCACTTACTTCTAAAATCCGCTTGTCCATGTCTTCCTCTCGTATGATGTTTTTTTTTAATATTTATATCATGATTTCAATAAATAAAATTTACCATACCAATCGTCCGATCTCGGTTCTGATAAAAAATTTCCTATTATTCTTATTCTTCCAGACCAAAAACAACAAAACATGGGGATTTACGTGAACGCCCCTGTTGTCCAACGTTACAAATGTAAGTTGAAACCATATTATTGGCATAAATATTCCAAATCTGGGAACAATTACCTATTGCAAAATTATGTAGAAAACAAACAATAGACAGATACATCAAAACAACCCGTATGAGATAATCGAAGGTTACTCACTGTCGCTTCTGTTTTCAAATTGTAATCTCTCTCTCTCTACTCTATGCCTGTTCGTTATTTTTTTTTTCCAAAACCGTCTGATTGTGCAACGTGCAATCTTGAACTTCAATCGTTAGTGCCGTACCATAACGGTACAACAGCGCCTATCCATGGTGCGGTAACAATAATAACAACGCGAAATCTAGACAAACATTTGAAATGGGCCAATGAGCCACATCACTTTAACGCGTCGATTTCTCACGAATGAATAACTACACCTTCTGATAGAGTAAACTTCCTCTACAAGATGCTGCTGTTGGTTTGCCCGGATGAGTCTTCATCCGCGAGAAATCGATATTTAAAGTCAGTGTTTACAGTTGCCTCATTTGCCCTTTTCACATGTTCGTCTGGAAATAGTTTGCAAAGCGGATGTTTTCGAATCGCGCTACGCCTACTATCGCCCCGTCGTCGACCATCCGTCGGAGGAGGCGATGCGAGAAGGTTCAGTTTTCAGCTTCAGTTCGGCGTGATAGTATTCATAATAATAATAACAGAGCTACTTGCCATCAGCAACAATAGCAGAGAGCGACTAAGAGTTGATGAAGTAATACGACGACCACTCCTTTCGTTCCAAGCCCGGAATAGAGACTGTGTGAGACGTGCTTGCATGGATTGACTGAGTCATTCAAGCTTTTGCAATAAGAGAAATGTCACGTGCTTTCGGTTTTGTTTTTCTCTGGTTTGTGAGAAAGACTAATAACTGACACCCGGCACGTAATGTTTGTTTTTGTTTCATTTTCAAGCAATTTTAAATATGGGCAGTATTTCGTGTAACGGTCTAATACCTTTAATTACTATGCGAGCGCTTTTCTGTTTTTGGGCTTCCGTGACGAACCTGTTTTGTTCCCTTTGGTGGTTCGCGATTTTGTCACGTTTCAAGCAGTCAGTTCAGTACGCTCGACGAAACGGCGAGCTATTCAACAAAGGTCCGTGTATATATGGCTCTATTTTTAGACATGCTAGACTTGATGCACGTTTTTTTTTTTATTTTCTCTGTAGGCCTTCGTCTTTTATATATCGTGTCTCACCCTTCACTACCCCGTTTCTTGCGTGCAACAATTCCACACATTTATCTGCCTTTCCTCTTTGATTGTTGCTTTAATTCGTCGTACTACTACGCTTGACGTAGGAACCCTCACTCTCTTTGAATTCGGTCAGAAATTACGCCATTTGGTCATTTCCTCTTTTCACGCGGCTGTGATAGTTATTTTCTATCGGGCTTCCTGGCCTTACACTTCATGCTTACTCAACCGAACCATGCTGCTGTTCGGTTTCAGTTTTATACGATTATTCAATACTGAAATGGAAATAAATAATAACAAACGGACCACGTTCGGGGAAGGTGCAGGTTGACGTACGAAACCCGGCTCTTTTTCCTAGACCGACGACTTCTGTTTTGTATTTGTTTACACCTTCATGATAAATATGTAAACCTTACTCTCTACGCTAGGTACTCGGGCAATTGGGTGAATTACGTCAGCAAAGTATAAGTAAGTTGCTATATAGCACTCGTCGGGCATGTCAGTCACTGAGGTAGCGTGTCAGCGTTGTAGCCGTCGTGCAGAGCATGCTTTCAATCATTCGCTCTAGGAAATGTACAATTGTCTGGATAGAATTCCCTCGAAGACTGTGACAGGAATGAGAGAATCATGTCAAGTTGAAAATGTCATCCAATCGACGAATGACGTAGGTTTGCGTGATCTTGGACGACTTGGATGGCTGATATAAAGAAATAAGAATGTATTTCAAGATGGACTCTGTTACCAAATTTGTTATATACAATAAATTTTCTTATATGGAGTTCGAGTTGGTGTTGAATTTGATGCAAGTCATTGATTTCATTTAATTTGCACCCATTTCGAGTGACTATTTATACAAAAAGACATCTAATAGGTGTCAAATTTGTGTGCCTCTATACCGCTCAGAAGGTTTTCCGTTGTTTTGAAATGCAAAAATGCGTTTTTGAACAAGCATGTTCCATACAGCCTAACATAAATATTCAAGACTAAGGAAAAATAATAAATTCCAAGAATCCAGAGGCCTTGCTAAAGTTTCAAAGCTTACGAACTTTTATGAATGAAATTGATGAGAATTTCCAAGCATCTCTAAGAATAGTTTCAAGGAAATTCAGAGGAAAATATCAGACGATGATTTTTAGGAAAGTGAAATCTGAGGATTCCTTTCACATTAGTTCTGAGAAACTCCGGACTCCAGGTGAAACGTAAGGAGAATTCCAAGGTAGTACTGAGTTAAATTCCAAGATAATCCTGGTCCTGAGTAGGGGGTAAAAATGGGTAATTTATCATTTTAAACTGTAAATGTGTAAACTGGTGCAGCTATCCTAATTTTACTCCAAAGAAAATCTCTATGCTCCAAAAAACCAAGTTTTTTTCTTCTTTTATTTGGTGGTTGAGATTTTTATTTTATTTTGGGCGTCACCCGTCGTTTAGGGGTTCGACGCCCGCTCCAGCCGATGGAACTTTTCGTTAAAAGCAAATTTCTCTACTGGTCTACTGGGTGTTGTGTGCTGTCCATTGGCTAGTGTTAAGTGTTCAGTCTGTTCATCTGCTGGTTGAATACGATGTCAATTGCCCTTTTTTTTATAAAGAATTTATGTGAAACTATTTTTTTAAGTTATTTTTAGAAAGCAGGTACTAAGAAGCAAAGCACATATGATGAGCAACCGGTGGGATTTGAACCTACATGGGCGCATTACCAATTATAATACGGGTAGCGCAACCCGGTTGATCATTATAAGTTGCGTTTTTAGTTGTCACGTAGAACATTTTCGGTGGTAGATATCAAGACAAATCATAATAGCATTCCATCGAGAGACTCCAATGATTGCTTCGACGTGATTCTCATAACAAAAAATAAGATTTTACTGCATAAATTTCAATTTAATTTAATAGTAATTCTATATCAAAACTCAAACAAACGGTCATAAGGTTGCAACGATTGTCAACTTAGTATTTTTTAGCGTTAAAGAATTTGAATTATTTTTAAAAAATACGATAAAACCAGGGTGTCGACTACCTGGAAAACCTGGAAAGTCAGGGAATGCCAGAGAGTTTTAGTGTAGGTCAGCGAAAAAAATTATGTTGATCACATTGCAAAAAATCATGTGTGGGACACATAAAAACAATTTTTGAAATGATGTCAAAGTTTTTGGGGAGATCCCGGGCATCAGATCCACTCGCTGCGTTTATGGGCGCCCTTGCCTGTATCTCTTCGAACAAGTTGCTGCAAGTGTTCATGGATGGGTCCAATGTGAATTGAAGCTAGAGGTACAAAAACGTGGCGAGAAGCTGATAGATCTAGGAAGCTGTGGGCTGTATATTTTGCATAAAGCATTCAAGGATAGTGTTCGCAGTATCAGTTGGGATGTTGTCAAATATTTGCGTGGTATCTACAATATCTTCAAAGATGTACCAGCAAGACGAGCGTTTATCACGATGTATTCTGGATCTACCATATTCCCGCTAAAGTTTTTCAGTCACCGATGGTTGGAAAATAGTGCTGATGTTCAGAGGGCAATCAAAATTACTCCGCAAATACGAAAATTTATTCAAGGCGTCCAGAAAGACAAAATCGAACCAACGTCAGCTTCCTACCAAGATGTTAAAAACGGGTTGAATGACTCGTTGCCGATGGCTAATAGTACGTTCAGACTACAGATTTATAACATGTTATAGCACTATCTTGATGGTGGTTTCTGTGTTGCAATTATTTGACAACCGTTATAACGTGTTATAACTCTGTAGTCGGAACGTGTTATTAAGCTAGCTTTCTTCAAATCAGTTGCTGTCGAAGTTGAGCCATTTCTATGCGAATTTCAGACGGACAACCCTATGGTGCCTTTTTTGTACAACATGATGTCTCAAATGGTTAGAGGCATTATGGAAAGGTTCATTAATATTGATCATCTGAACAATATTGCACAGGTAAATGCACATTCGATCAATATGATCGCAAAAAGGAACGACTGGACGTTTTTTGGAACAGGTTATTGGTCGGTGTATTCAGAACTATTGTTAATTTTTCGGTAAATGCAGTATATCTTTTTGAAAACATCAGGGAAGAGTCAAGGCCCAAGCGTAATGACAGCGGAACGGCAGTGGTAGCGGAAAAGCCCGATCTGAGTAAGCCTATTTGTCGGATTGAAAACTAGTTAGAAACAAATCGACTGCGGTTAGGCATCTTGATGTCATTTGTGACAATTGTCAAACGTGTCGTTTCCGTTCCGCTTCCGCCCACAATGCGTTTGGGCCTTCAGTCGTAGCGTGACGTCAGATCTATGATGGTGTTACTCATGCAAGCGGGTTGGAAAACTTACAAACTTTGAGTGAACTTATCCGGCGAGTTCGAAAAATCGCATTCGCTTTCCATGTAGACAAGGATCGTCGTATGAAAGAAGCTCTAGATTCCGAGAGCTCAAGATGCTCAAAAAGAAGCCGAGAGTTTGCAGGAGAAAATTGCTCTGCTCAAATGATAAACATTTTTAAACGTAATCCGAAAATAAACACATATTCAACTTGCAATTTCTCGTTGTAATGTGAACTTACTGAGAGAATAAAATGTTAATGATAATTGAACTTAAATTATTTTGCCATGTCTGCGGTTGTCATATGGAGTTCTAGAGAGTACGAAACTGACTAATGCATGAGCAGTGCATCCTCAGGTTCGGTTGCCAAAGCAAGAATAATCACTGCTCTGTTATTTTACAATAATTTATATGTTAAGAGAAAGGATCGTCTACGGGTTGATTTTTATTTGGCTGTGAAATTATGAACACAAATTGAGAGCTTGGTGACATTGATTAAATATT